ACTTTGGTTAATTACATTCATTATAAGGTAATGAGATTAATTAATTTGCATGTATGGTAACAACTGGAAAAGTTAACAAATCCACAGAAAACAGGGGGTCAAATAACGCGGACATTTCCACTTTCTGTCACCTTACCAAAAACCTCATCCTTTCACCCTCCACCATTCATCAATACCACCAAAGCACATTTCCTTAAATAACGTGCCCCCTAGATCACCTCATCCTCACCGTCCGATCAAATCCAACGGCAGATACCCTGCAAATATAATCAGGCGTGAACAAAACGCACAGTGCAACTCCTTCCCATTGTCCTCTAGAACCAAACAACGAACGAAACCGCAGAAATCAGAGACGAAGTGTGAAGACCTCTGTGGCTCTGTGCTTTTTATTTCAGTCCCCGAACTTTACCAAAATTACACTGACGTCCCCGAACCATAGACGATAATGCACCAAAAGTCGGATTCGGATGTGACGATGAGCGTGGAGCAGTTGACGCCGCCGCGGTCGCCTCGCCGTCCGATTTACTACGTCCAGAGCCCCTCCAACCACGACGTCGAGAAGATGTCGTACGGCTCGAGTCCTGTTGGGTCGCCGCAGCACCACTACTATCACTGCTCCCCTATCCACCACTCCCGCGAGTCCTCCACGTCGAGATTCTCCGCCTCCCTGAAAAACCCCCGCAGCATGTCCGCCTGGCAGAAGCTGCAGCGCGGGGACGAAGTGGAATTGTCCGAAGACGACGAAAATGACTCCGCATTCGACGACGGCGACCCCGTGCGTAATATTAGGTTGTACTTCTGCTTCGCATTGCTGTTCGTTGTGCTCTTCACGGTGTTTTCTTTGATCTTGTGGGGCGCCAGCAAGGCTTACGAGCCTCGAGTCATCGTTAAGGTAAATGATTTCCGACCTTCCTTTTCATTTTGCTTTAACGTTTATTTTAGTTACTTAATCCTCTATGATTTATTCAATTAAAATAACAGAAATAAACATGATTAATGTGCAAGGGGAGATGTTTAATTTATTTATTTACTTGAATATCTGTTCATTTATTCAATTAAAATGTAAAAAATAAACGAAACGTCTCAAACGAGACGTTTATATACACTTGAATTTTTTTTTGTTTGTTCAATTGAAAATTTAGAAACTCAGAAATAAATACAATGTGAACACGGACATGGAGATAATAAAGCATGCCGGAGTAACTTTTAGGTTTTATTTTTTTCACACGGTAATGGACCGAGTTGACTCGGTTGACGGGGATTTGGTTTCATTTTGTCTGACGGCGTTAGGTTTTGTTTCTTTTTTCCTGGGGGCTAGCAGAATATTGTGTTCGAGAGTTTAAATATACAGGCGGGGAGCGACAGGACGGGGGTCTCGACGGACATGCTGTCGTTGAATTCGACGGTCAGGATCTCTTACAAGAATCCCGCGACATTCTTCGGCGTCCACGTCACGTCTACTCCATTGGAGCTCCACTATTACCAGCTCAAGGTTGCGTCCGGCCAGGTGCGTGATGTCCGTTTTGCCATAGATAACAAGGGGATTCAAACTTAATTCATATTCTGTACATGCGTAATTTTGTCAATTTAACTTGTCATAGTTAAGAGTGCGTTCCAACGTTACAGGGGTTTGTACTTTGCCGGTTAAAAATTAAAATATTTATAAATACGGTTTCGGTTTGGTCAAAACGGCAGACGTTGGGAGTTGGGACAGCAGATGAAGGTTTGAAAATTTTGATGTGTCCTCTCAGTCGTCTTTATTGGGGTCACTGAAAAAGCTGTTTGTGCTGCCGAAGCATGAAAGGACCCGGCTTGTCTGCCCTTCTAGTTACTGTACATTTCTATTTTCTTACCACGGTTAAATTATATTAATATTTTATATTAATTTTTTTGATAAAAATAATAAGATAAAAAATAATAATAATATAAAATATTAACGTGGTTTAACTGTAATCGCACAAATAAAAAGGAATAAGAATGTATAGAAACCGGAAGAGCAGAAAAACCAGGTCCAGCATGAAAACCCCCAACACCTTAAATACAAACATCTCTATTGGGATGCGTGGCCCAAATTTTACTGTCCTAATGTGAAAAATGGTCATGCGTGCTGTGAGTCTAGGATGTGGTTTTATGATATAGGTTTAAAGTAACTAAAAATTGAACTTATTTTAAAAGTAAAAAATTATTAAAAATTGGATATATTTCAAAAAGTAATATATAAAATTGGACCTATTTCAAAATTTTCCTTGAAATATTTTCGAATGGCGTTACTAATTTAGATTCATGTATTATGTTGTCCAGCTCGAAAAATCAGTAAAACAAATTCTTTGTGAGGTGGGTTATTTAGGGTTTGTTGTTATTGGTAACGACTCATAACGATATAATGTCCACATCAAAAACTTACTGGAGTTGAGAATTCTTCCTTTGTGATAACGTGACCAAATCTACTCGATTAGTTTCGAAATCATATTTGTCAATATGCATTACTATATATGCTATTGTTATCAAACATAAGAGTGTTAAATTCCAAAGCTTGATGGATTTCAATGGAGAATCAGAATCCACTTTTTGACTATTTGTTCATCTTTTAATAGGTTAAAGTCTTATAAGACCACCAAAAGTCGGGTGATGATTCCAACTTTCTTATCTTGTGGCTCAAGTCTTTTTACTCAGCATTGACTTAAAGCGTCTCTTTTAGTATATGTCAAATTTTAAATATAAGATTTAAATTTGACAGCTTAGAGCATCTCCAAATGAAATGTTAAAATTTCTGCATAAGATATAACGGTCAAAAAGGACAGTAGCTAATTTTTTCCAACCGAAATGTTAAATCTTATATGGTATGACAATGAATGGTAACAAAGGGGCTTGCTGTCCCATTTGACACCAGCTTCCAAAAAAAAAAAAATTATTAATTAGTAAATGTCTTATTAATAATTAAATGTCATTTATTACTAATGTCTTTTATTATTGGATTGCTGACTGTAGAGTTTGTTTTATACGCTGCCTCTTTCTTCGTTTTTAATCAACAAGTTCTTTTCAACTTTGTGAAATACACTTATTCATTCTTCAATAGGTATCCTACTTTATTTTGTGGACATGCCTCAAATTTTCTTTTTTTTTCCCTTTTTCTTTCATTTTAAAAATGGGGACAATTGGTGGTAAGTTACAGTTATCTATCCTTTTCGGGAGCCGAAAAGACTCACAGAGGCATTTTAGCCTCCTCCTGGCTAAAAGTTTGGCTTCCACATCAACAACGGGTTTCGAACCCGATACCTCCAATTTTTAATTTTAAGAAAGTTTCGTAGTCTGTCATTTACCATTGAGTCAGCAGCTCGTGGTTGACATGCCTCAATTTTTTTCAGATTCATCTTCTGAACAAGCGGAGGAGTTTAAAAAAATTTGAGGCATGTTCACAAATATTTTGTTTTTAATTAATATTTTCAATTAAGGGTTGTATTTTATTGGATTATTTGTATTAGTATTTTGTTGTTATTTAGTCTGAATTATTTATATATGTAATATTTAAAATATAAAATAGAAATTAAGAGAAAAATTAATTTAATAAAATAATAATTTAAATTGACACATCGGATGGAGAATGAAACATTAAAATATGTTAAAATGCCACATAAACCATCAAATTTAAATTTTGTGTTCAAAATTTGACATCTCCTTTGGAGATGATCTTATGTAGCATTTTGATATCTTTTAAAAGTTTGATCTCCATCCGATATGTTAAATTAAACTATTATAATAAATGTTAAAAAAAACTAATTAAATTAATTAAATGAATTTAATAATCAATTAAAAAAATGAAACAGATTGAAAACTTCTACCAAGCAAGGAAGACGCATCGGACAATAAGGACGGTTGTGCTAGGGTACCAAGTGGCTCTTTACGGGGGAATTTCAGTTATTCAAGATGTTAAAGAGGATCAGCAGAGAGTGGTAATACCGCTGAATCTGACGTTTGTTGTGAGGTCAAGAGCCTACATTTTGGGAAAACTAGTGAAGTCCAAGTTTTATGAGAGAATCAGATGCTCTGTCACTCTTAGAGGAAGCACACTAGGCAAGCACTCAAATTTGACAGATTATTGTGTCTACGACTGAATGCTGTGCTGTTTATCATTAGTAATCTCTTTGACAATGTTAGTGTGGATTAATTGTATCATTTTAACTGCTTAGATTACCTTGATGTCTATCGGACTTCGAATTTTGTAACAATGACTTCGACCTCTTTGTAGATTTTTCATTTGTGTAGAAAACAAGAGAAGAAAGGGAGTAATTGTTGCCTTCCATTCGTTTCTGTAGAATGGATTTGTAAAAAGATGCATTGTAATCAATTTGTTGCTTGAATGTATGGCACATATATCTTCTGTTTGGTAGATGAAAATGGTGATTCAGAACTTTAGCTGCTCTTATACAAGTTTTGATAATAATTTTGATGTTAGGCGACTTTAGCCAAGGTAAATGCAGTGAAATTTATCATGGAAAATAACATTTTTAAGGCATTAAGGATGAGTTTATGTCAAGGATGTCCTTATCGTAGAAAAAAAATGCTCACATCCGTCAATGCAGTTCAATGACAGTAACTGTCTATACTTTAGGCCCTCCAATGCTAATTCATCTAGTTTTCAAAGAATCATCTAAAATGTGCCAAAAACGCAAATTGTTTGATAAAACGAAGATGCAAATATCAAATTGTTCAGCGGTTATTTAGTTGGCTAATCTCGATCATTTCAAAGGCATTAAGGATGCGAATTTCAAATCGCTCAATAGTTATTTAGTTGGCTAATTTTTTGTAAGAATGATTCTTTAGAAGGAACTTAAAAGCTGAATGGTTTTGGATTACATCCCGAAAATAGAATGTCCTTGCTTAAGAGCTTAAATAAAGAATTTTTAAGTAAAAACGAGAAAGAAGGTAATGTATAGGAAAGAGAAGACTTGCAGGCAGAAATTTACCTGAATGCTAAAAAGAACATGAAGCACTTCCACATAGGCTACAAGCAAACATCAAAACCACTACATCTTTTATTGGCTGCATCGTGCATGCTAATTCTCCTTGTGCTTCTCCTCTTCAGTCTTGTGATTCCCAGGGAGCTTGTCCTTAATCTTTTCCAAGATCCCTTTCTTTGCCTCGCTGTCGTGGGAATGCCCATCCGGAGCATGATAATCTGCAGGAGCATGATGTTCAGCCTCCTTGTCCTCTCCCGGAAGCTTTTCTGCGATTTTCTTGACAAATCCCTTCTCCTCAGCAACATGTTCGGCCTCCTTGTGCTGTCCCGGAAGCTTGTCTTTGATTTTCTCTACAAATCCCTTCTCATCAGCGTGTCCATTCTTCGCTGGAATGGATGTGTGGCAAGCATCTCCCTCTTGTTACTTGATATTTTCTCCTTGATCTTACCCTTAAGTCCCTTCTTTTTCTTCTCCCCACCTTCTTCGTCACTGCTAGACTGGAAAAACAAGCAACAAATATTTTATCAGTGAAGATTGAAAATCCGATTCTTGAAGGAAAGAAAAGGGACTAAGCACGCATGTTCTGCATTTGAAGTTAAAAAAGAAGTGATTTTTGCATGCAATTTTTTTTCCCAAACCTTTTGATTGAATAAATCAAAGAAGAATCAACAAAGAGGAACAAGGGGAGAAGTGTGAAAGGAGAAAACAAATCAATGTTTGTATTGTGCATCAAACACTTGTGGAATCATTGATACAAATTGTGTTGAGAGTTTAATTTTTGATAACCAAATCAACGAGACTCACCGAGCTAGAGTCGCCGTTATGGTGGTAGAGCTTTTCAGCTAAAGTAGTGTGCTTGTGCTGCTCCTGCTCCTGGTGGGGTTTCTGATTGTCCTTCTTTTTCAAGAAATCAAGCATCCCAGAACCCTGAGCTTCTTCTTCTGCTCCCTTGGCATGTGTCTGACTCTCTTTCGGGTACTGATCTTCCATGCTAGTAAAACGAAAGTGTAATCGAATCGAAAAGAAAGGTTTGAGCTTTATCTAATGTCGGAAATGGCGATTAATTAACTCTGATTTTTCACTGGTGGTTTCATAGCAGATCGGTGTTGGTATTTATAGAGAAATGCTACGAGTTTTGTTAGCAACTATGAAATGTACCAAGACTCTTAAGTGATTGAAAAAAAAAACGATAAAGAAACGTACCATTTGCATTGGAGAGGAGAAAACTCATAAGGGTCGGTGTGGACGCTGTGCAAAATTCTGCAGTTATCAAGAGTTTGGTGCATGTTTTTTGAGATTAGGAGATTAACAGGGATTAGTGGTACTCTTAACATAATCACATGGATGTGTTTGGTCGGTGTTTGGGTTGGGAAGTTAACTTTTTAGAAATTTAATTTTGTTAATCTTGATTTAGCTAATCAAAGCATAAACATTACAAAACTGTTTTCCAAGCTGAACATGAGTCAACCCTCCAATCAATTTGAATCTTAGTTTTATAAAAATTTGACTGAAATCCAAGACAGTAAAAGTTGTTTCAGGTTTTCGTATTTAAGTATAACAAGAATTATAGATGGGAGCATGTAATTACGTTTCTCTTTTATTTCTCTTTTATTGACAAATTAATCACAACTTGACAAGTGTGTATAACTTTTCTTTACGTATTTTTCGTAAGCCACTTACAAGAAACTTTGGATGACCATCACATTGTCACATTATATTACTAATTCACTCAATAATATATTCTAGGTCCATGATATATTAATTATGTTATCCAACTATATTATAACATGTGGATTGGTAACAACATATGCAAGATTGAGACAATAAAAAACTTTCTCGTTCCTTAGCATAGGTGTCAGTTTTTTATTTTCTTTTAATTGTAAAGAGCCAAGCGCTATTCTATTGATGATATGCAGAAAGAAAAGTGGCCCATACACCATGGTCTCAATCTTTACCATTTTATAACGGGCGGGTAACAGTGGGTAACAGTGGTTATTTATTCATAATTATTTATGTTCATACCTGCATAACCATTTACCCGTTGGATAATTGCATAAGCGGTTATACTCATACCCATAACCGTTTATAAACGGTTAACCATATCCATAACCGTGTACCCATTTAACCATAACCATTTACCCATTTAACCATAATCATTTACCTGTTTACCCGTTTTTGAACCCATTTATCCTTTTTTTTACCTATTTACCCCTTTTTAACCTGTCTGCATGTTTTTTTTTTAACAACTTGAAACTTACAAAAGAAAAATTGTCATAATTTTCATTTTCTGACAATTAAACACCATTATAAGTACATTTTAGAATGCATTTTCCTATTTTAATCATTTAAATCCTCATATAATTCCAATAATAGTTTACGAATGATATTTTCTGCTACACCCAAGCAAGTCTTTAATTATAATTCATATGATTACAAAGTAAAGCTCCATAATATTTCCGAACTAAACACTTTTGAACACTAATACTTTAGCACGTTCAATCACAAAGTCTCATCGACTCGTTGTTACCAAAAGAGGCCTACAAAAGAAATGTATAAATTGAATTAGTATCCCATTTAGGAACACCAACACCAATTAGCGAGGAGGGAGAGATGAGTGGGGGACGAAGCGTTTGAGATTCTGAGTCTGGCGGAGAGATTGAAAATTTAGGGTTTAAATTTTTTTTTTTTTAAATTTTACATATATTAAATTAAATGGGTAAATGGATACTCGTTATGACCGTGGGTAATACCCATAACCGTTTTTTTTTTAAAATTTCACAGATAAACGGTTATACCCATAACCGTTTGTTCGTCTAAATGATTACCCATAACCGTAACCATGAACTTTAAATACACGAGTAACCATAATTACACAAACCCATGATTATTTTGCCCATCCCTACATGGAGTTTATAACTTCTTGTTTGAAGCATATAAGTTTGAGCAACTTCATAAATTTATCTAGCCTTCATATATAATTACGAATTTCTTGGTCACGCCTATTGCCATACCAGGAAACGGCACTCATATTAAAAGATAGTTTATTGCATGGATGATGCATGCAAAGAAGTTGTCAATTACTTGAGTTGGTATACTGATATTTCTGACTTCCAACAAAAATACTGATAGACAAGACTGCTATAAGGAAGTCATTCTGTTGACTACAAAAATTACAAAACCTACGTGGCGCGCAGGCCGAGTAATTAATAAGCTAACTACGTCCTTCGGTTGAATGTGGGGCGTGCCAACTTGTCGGCCGAGGAGTAAAATTTGATGTTGTCGCGTTGGGTGCGCTGTTGACTTCTGTATCTTGCGATTGCGACCGAGGAAGGAACGCTCTCGGCCTCTGGGTTCTATAGCCTGAAGACAAGGCTACTAATTCTACGGAGTTCACAAGTCGTCGGAGCCTGATTCGGTCACTGTGATTATATTCGTAAGAGTATAAGCACGCCGAATCGAGACCAAACTATATGGGCACAGGTACTCGAATGTGATATATGTCTTGATGGTAAATGTAGTTCGGCCGTCGGAATGCCGAACTCTGAAGCTTACTTGCGAGTATCCAATCATAAAACCACTCGGCGTCCAATGCGCCGAGCAATGCAATTCGTAACACCCTACTATGCCGGAAAGGCTTAGTAAGATGACCTCTACCAACAAGGGCTCGAAAACCCTTCTCGGCAGAGACTTAGATAGATAATCGGTCGACCTCGACGCAGTGCTGTTTATCCAAACTGAAGGTGCTCCTCGGTCGGCTGATTCTGCAGCAGCAGTGCTGTTTATCCAAACTGAAGATACTCGCCGGGTGCTTCCACAGTGCTGTTTATCCAAACTGAAGGTGTGTCGGCAGGAAAAGAAAAGGAAAAAATCTCAAGGTGTTTGAGAGGTTTTGCGCAGGGCAATTGTATGCTGATTTTTTTGAAGGTCTTTTCTATTGTGCGAATTCTCGTATTTATAGCCCCCGTTCCTTGAGGCCCATTCGCATTCTGATTCGGACTGGGAGTCCTTGTCCCATTTCACTTCTAACTCGAACAATCCTACTCCTACTGGGATTCTGAATTTTCCTCCTTTTGAGGCTTTATTCCTTGCCGGCCGAGAATCCTGGTCGCACCAGGATTTCCTCGACCTTTTCCATTCATCTGGACTACTTAGGATAGGATTTGGCCGACCCTACCAGCTGACCTGGGTTTCTTTATTCGGCCCATAGCATTTGTCATCACCTTGGGCCGAGCACATCTTCCTGCTCGGCCCAACCATAGTATTTTGGGCCCAAACACATTCTCAGTAATCTTTTCTCCAACAGATGTAAGTTGATCTTTGATAGTCTTGACTTGTAACAGAATTTTATCTATCGATTCCCCACCTTTCTGAATGGTATGAAATTCACTTTTCAATTGATTAATTCGCACCATAAAAACTGATGCAAACCTTTCTTGTAAACATGTCCATGCCTCATGAGAAGTCTTGCACCCAATAATATGCTCCATATCATCATCAGACAAAGTAGCTATGAGCAAACTCAGCAATGCCAATAAGCAACTCAACAATGCCAAATCTTTCTTTACCCAATCTTTGTAAGCCAAAGTGACCTCTTTTGTAACTCATGTCTCTGTATGGATCACAAATTTTGGAGGACATGGAGCATCTCTAGTGAAATGATCAAAAAGATCACAACCTCTAAGGACCGACCGAAATTGAAAACTCCACTTAACAAAATTATCATCTTGTAATCGCACTGTGAGCATACCAAGTAACCCTTCAATCTTTACAATAGAATATGTCATTTGAATACAATCGCAACTAGTTTTGATCACACAATACTTGCTCTTCACACAAAACTATGTTCTTGAATATCAAGAACCCAATTACAAATTTCTCAAGAAATCACTCTCTGGCTATCGGCCTTTTTCGAGTAAAAAATTGACAACCTTCAACAATTCTTATACAACTTTAACAATTTTGGCTATTCGCCTTGTAATCTTTCGTAAAATGGTTATCGGCCTTTCAATCTTGAATACAAATGACAGAAATTTGATACTGAAGCATTCAAGCAAACAGTTGGTGTCCACAAAAAAATCAGTAACACAGAACCTGATATACATTGCAATCTTGATCGTGAGCGATGAAGAACTTTAATCAACCAGCAAAGATCCTTCGACCAACCAAAAGGAATTGCACAGCGGAATCGGCACCGAGGATCGATAGGCAAGTGATACCATGATAACAGTACCACAAGTATCAATAAATTATCAACAAAAAGAAAGAAAGAAATGCAGAAATGGAAGAAGAAGGAAGAGAGAATTGGAGAGTGAGAGAGACGACCATGAATTTCAGTGTAATTTCACTAACTAAATTGCAATGATAGTTTACACACTTTGTATAGCTCACTAGCTATCTTACACTCTAAGCTATTAGCCCCAACAACTCTAACTAACTCCCACATCAGCTAGATATCTAACTGTTTTGCCATATCAGCATAACTAGTCTTTGGACAATACTACCCTTCAATCTATATCAATACCCGCATCGTTAGAGTTTAACACCAAGCACGCCAACTCTCGTGTTTTTGGTTGCTTTTGTGTGTGTGTGTACATATTTTTAAAGATACGATAGTGTACTATTCATGAAGGTTAAACCCAAGAAGGCTCAAGCCAGATAGTACATCAAGGATTACAAAGTGATACCGGGCATTACAAGCAATCCTCAGCGAGGAGGCCCAAAATGAAGTTAGGGGGAGTCCCCAACCAATCACAATGGCTGCCAATTGATAGGCTGTAACGAGCAAGCCGGTGGGCTACTGGCATGGCGGCAGACGTGGGGTATCTCAATCTTCAGTGAAAGGGGAGAAAAGCTTTCGTATCCTCCACAATTTGGCCAAGCACTGACCAGTTCAGGGAGGGATCCGAGAGCGCCCCAACAATCTGAAGAGAATCGCCTTTGATTGTAAGTTTTTAAAACACCTTGTCACAGCCCAAACCACACATTATCTAGCAGCCAAAGCTTCTGCGTGGGAGAGGAGACGTTAAGAAAGTTCATGCATGCAGCTGCCACAAAGATGCCAGCGTCGTCTTTCACAACCATACCCACTCCTCCCGAATTCCTATCATGATCCCAAGCCCCGTCAAAATTGAGTTTCAATTCAGCCGTCCTGATGGAGGCGACGACCATTTGGGAGTGTGGGGGCCGTTGACCATGGAGTGAGACGGTGGAGCATTGACCCTGATGGATTCCTGCAGCCATGCAAGCATCTTTGCTACAACTAAGTCTGGAGTATCACGATGAAGTGTTGATGCTTTGCATCTCTTTTGCGTTGTATGCACCTTAATGGTAATAATATAGCGTGTCTTCTTTTTCTTTTCAAAGATGCAGCTTTAAGTTCCTGATATTCATGGTTAGATAGTATATGACTGTTGTGCTATCTTTTATGGACTAACAAAACAGTATATTCAAGTATTAAAAAAAAAAAAAAAAAAAAGAATGGTTGAAAACAAGAGTGATGAATGACATCGTGTAGAGAGAAAATGTAACAATATTTTCTTAACATGAAAGAATAATGTTAAACTTATCATATATTTGTATCATCTCTAACAGATGTAGAGCCTATCTACACATGTGAGTCCTATTGCAATTAGAAAGATGGTACAAATAATGATACAAATATGTGATAAAAGTAACATTTTTTAATAGAAAAACTTAGTCTTATTTTGCTGTTCGATTCTTCTACCTACAGTGTTAGATACATTGAGTTTATTTTTGTACATTCATGTATTTTCTCCTAGAATGTAACCCTTTTGTTTTCAACCAATAAAACATTACTTCGTAGCATAACAGTTTGTGACAGTTGAAATTCTCATTGATACAAAATACCACTATTGCAAACACCCACATAATCTTTTGACCAAAAGCACTCACATAAACAAGCAAATTACATCATTTAATTATTCTTTTATCGAAATGAATTGTATCCATAATTGGGTAACAACATCTAGACAATAACGCATTTCTCTAATCCAATCATAACTACAGAGGCCAAATCACATTTCAAAGCGTCATACTTTGAAATTAACTCTCACGAGAAGAGACAACAAATTGAACTAAAATTATTCAAGATGAAGATTTGGAATTACAGTAATGCCAGTAATCGAGGTGAACACAAATAAAGATGAAGATTACAAACCAAATACAATGCATGGTTCTTTTTATAAAATTTGTATGGTGAAAATATGTAAAGAGAATATAGTAGTAGACCCCATAGGATAGCTCAAGTATTGTCTGTCTGTTATAAACCTTTTGAAAAACTACAAATTTAATATAACATAATAATATTAAAGTGTTAATTTTGGGACAATCACATACATCCGTTAATCAAACTGTTAACTATGTTGTTAACTGATGACGTGACATCTATGTAAAGAATCACCGGATGCCACATGTCATTAAAAGGTCTACGTGAAAATTAAAAATTAAAAAACCATTTTTTTATCAAAAAAAAGAAAAAAAGAAAAAACCTTTTTGTTACTTGTCTTCCTCCCAGAGGAAGTTCGATCTACCCATCCGTCCCCAATACCCTCCTCCCTTCTCTTCTCCGCATCCACGGTAAGACTTAGTCCACTTCCTCATCTCTCATTGTCGTCAAATTAATTTAAATTCCTTGCAGGTAACCGTGAAATTGACAAAAATCCTTTGACAGAAATGTCTTCTAAACAATTTTTGTAACCCAATAATACTTAGCAAATATTATATTTACCTTTATTGGTAATAGTTAAAAATATGATCCGTAAACTATTATTTCAATTATTGAAATGGTATAAGAATTTAAAAAATTAAAATACGAAAATGTACCTATAACGGTGTTTAATTGTTAAGGAAAAAAGAAAATTATAACAATTTTTTTTTTAAATTTTCAAGTTGTTAAAAAACACGTAGACGGGTGAAAAAAGGATAATTGTAAAAAAAAAAAAAAAAAAAAAGATAAACGGGTTAGAAAAGGTAAATGGATAAACGGATATTAAACGGTTACGGTTAAATAGGTATGATTAACCGTTTATAAACGATTATAGGTATGAGTATAACTATTTAGACAATTACATAACAGGTAAATGATTATGTGGGAATAAGCATAAACGGTTATGAATAAATAACCGCAATTACCCATCCGCTATAACCGTTGCCCATCCTAGCTCCACCCAACCTTCCTCTCCTAGCTCACCCCCGCCACCTCTTCTTCCAGATTAGCCGAACCCACCTCATCAAATCACCACCGTGAGCATCCAATTAGCCCTTCCCCTCGTCAAATCGCTGCGAGAGTCCAGTTTTGAGTTTATGATTTCAATCCTCCCACCGTTTGCTGGGCTTGCAACGAGAAGGTTCACAAACTGAACAAGCTCACGAGTTCTGTCCTCCCACATGCCCATTTTGAGTTTATGATTTGCAGAAGTTGTTGGGTAATTGAATTTTTTTAGTTTGAAGCAAATCATACCCATTGCAAAGAACAAACCAAACTTTTTTTTTTTTGGGAGAAAAAGGGAAAAAGAATCCAAACACTTTTGTAAAATAAATCCAAAACCCAAAACCCAACTCTTATAATCTTTGTCTCAGTCCGCAGCAAAATCAAAATGCATGAAATCAATTTTATTTCGTAAAATCAAATGCAACCCCAAACTTTTTTTGTTGTTATTTTGCAGTTGCCATCTCAGAAGAAACGAAGTTCAGGAAACAAAATGGCCCAAAGCTAGAGAGAAAAAGTGAGAGAGAGACTGACGATGGGAGTGTCATTGATGCTGAGATGGGGGCGAAAGGAGCTCCCATGACTCCAAGCAGCAGTCTCAGATCAGACCTCTTGTCGTTGTTATGCGCGACGGAGCTAGCGGAGGGAGTCCGCGAGATCAGACCCCAATACCCCGAACCACCTCGTCCTTGAGGGCAAAGAAAAAGCCTTGTTTCTTCTCCATTTTTGGGTTTCTGAAAATCCTGATTCCTCCTGCCTTGGTTTTTCCTCGACCCGAGAAAGTCGTGCGGCGGGTGGGTTTTTGTGGAATCAGAGGAAATGGGTTGGGAGGAGTGAGCAGAGAGAAAGAAGAGGGCTAGAGAGAGTGGAGAGTGCTGGGGGTTGTTGAAGAAGGAGAAGAATGTGAGTAATAGCGAGAGTGAGACTGGTCCTTCATTTCATAGAGAGAGAGAGAAGGAAAAGTGGGAAGCTCAAGCTTTCGCGAGCGAAAACGATTTCAGAAGTGTGAGGAGGGGATTGGAAGAAGAGGTGGCCGGAGGGTGAGGTAGGAAAGGAAGGTTGGGTGGGACGCGGAGGAGAGAAGGGAGGAGGGGATTGGGGATGGATGGGTGGATCGAACTTCCTCTGGGAGGAAGACGAGTAACAAAAGGTTTTTTTTTTTTTTTTTTTGATAAAAAATATTTTTAAAATTTTTAATTTCCACGTTGACTCCTTTAATGACACATGACGTCTAGTTATTGTTCACATAGGTATCACATCATCAGTTAATGGTAGAGTTAACAATTTGACTGACAAATATATGAGATTATCCCAAAATTTAAACTTTAGGTATGATTCTGAGATAAAAAAAATTTCATATATAAAATATTGAAAACCATAAAATTTAAGAGTAGTAAATTGATATTTATCTTTATCTTTAATATAGTCAATAACAGTGCACAAGAAATTCAAAAGTTTTCTCAGTTGATGAAGCCTATGTTGCACAGACACAAATACAGATACGGGGGCACACAATACGGCGACACGATAGGTCTCAAAAAATAAGAACATGGATACAACAATTAAAATATAATAAACATTACATATATTAAAAACAATATTTCAAATTCATAATATAACAAAAGGAATGTGATATTTACACATCATTTTTTTACTTTTCACACACCTTTTTAATTTTCGGCCGTCGGATCGGATGAATTGAAAAAGATCAACGGATAGAAATTAATAAAGAATATGTGAGAAGTAAAATGTAGTGTGTGTATAACATATCTCATAACAAAATAGTCGATGCTAGATTCTGCGCATGGAATTAATGCGGAACAAAGCGGCTAAGAAAATGAAGTGAGAAAGAGTACTGGGGAGGGAGGCGCCAGATTAGATTGAGAGGAATGAAGTTAGGTTGAGGTTGGGGACTCTTCTAGGTTTTAGTTTCAATATTTTAAAAACTGCCCCAAAATGTTTTTTAATTTTACAAAAGGCCCTTGTTGTATCTTGACCGTGTTCAAACCGTGTCTTGACCATGTTCAAGTGGTTGACCGTGTCCAACCCATGTCTCGGGCTTGTCCGAGGCATGTCGGAGTGTCGGATACTATGACACTTCCCGGGTTTTGGAGTGTCCATGCAACCTAAAATGAAGCTCCCATGATATATATGACTCTTAACAAAAGTTTGTCATATGATTTTCTTTTCACTACACTTGCTTAGTGAATTTCGATATACATGGTTTTTCTCTTTGCAAAGTAAAACTAATTAAGGTCTGAAGGCTTGAAGAAGTTGGCATGAAGACCTCTGCTAGCTAAGTTCCATGCTGCTGCAATGACTAAAAGCGCACTCAGAACAAGGCCTAAGCCTCCCAGTCCCACGTTGATGCACCACATAGCACTTTTCGGCTTTGGTTTCTTTATTGCAATCCACATCAAACATGGATAAGCATATGTCAGTGGTAATGTCAATCCTCCAATTAGAGGCGCCAAGCTACCCAAAAATGGAAGAGTTACTGCTGCCAAGAATGTCATTCCTCCAAAGAAAAGACGGAAAGTTGTTCGAAGCCACCTTGTGCATGCCTTGTTCTTCCTGCTAGTGTAGCTTGTCTCTAGTTTGTCGAAAATTATCATGCTGTAGATTTGGAATGTACTTATACAATTTATGACCACAAGTACGTATATCAGTCCCAGCACAATTTTTGATGTGTCATGTTGATGGAATTTCGACATTGCAATTAATAGTCCTCCATTCGATGAAGGTACCTGCATGGATCAAAAGAATTCAATTACGATCATGTACAAAAGATTAGTTTGAGCTACAACTTTCATTGTTGAACAAGAGGAATGTTAATTGTTCTCACCTTGTTTCCATAAGCCCAAAATCCAGCTATAGCAAGAGGATACAAACACATTGCTATAATTAGGTATGATACAGTCACTCCTCTCCACATTGGCTTGTGAGTTTGGTGTTTTAGACTTAAAGGCAATGTCCCCTGCAATCAAGTATAAAACTTTACTCTTGCAGGCTACAATCAAATTGCAAGTATACACCAGCACTATTAACACCTAATAATAGTAAAATTTGGCTACCAAAACCAATGATTGGGGCTTTGATTTGAATCAAACATTTTCATCTGCAAGCTCCACACCCAATAAGATCAATTCATTCTAACACAAAGATGGGTGGATATCAAACTCTGGGGTGCAAAAAAGATGAGAGATTTTTCGAATCTACCTGGAACATAATAAAAAATTGGGAGATTTTTTAAATCTATCTAGAACACAACCACATGGTGTTAATTCAGCTCAAATTGTAGCACATGTATATATATTGTAACTTTAAAATAGTACACTCCTTGACCAGTGTTTCGGTTCACATAAAAACTTCCTAATTAAAGATAAGCTCTTAGAAGAGTAATGGACCCAAGTTTTGAATAACAAAGAAAAACTAGCAAGAATTACACTCACCTGAATCTCAAGAACAACATTGTGGCCTCTGAATGCAAGAACAATGATGCCAAGAGCATTCAGAATCCCGCCAAATCTATCCATTTCGTCATCCATCTCCGGTGGGTTGTATGAAGTGCCGTTAGGCCTGCCCTTGCCAATTGAAAGAGCCCAAATCAAAGTACAATATGCTATAGCTGTGGTGGCACCAATCAATGAGACCCATGCCATGGAGTTCAGGTTGGGAAACTGAGCCACAACAATAGCCATGCACATGAACACCAAGAAGCACTCTACATTAGTCAATGACTTGGCATCACAGTTTGCCCCGTCGTTGCACACCGTCTTGATGAAAAGCTTTATGGTTCCACCTCCTAAGATTATTAGCTGGACACATGTACCAGCTGATAAATACATTACTGGGACTAGAGCTAAAAACGTCCCTAGCTTTTGACCTAAAAAACAAAATTATAGCTATTTAGTGAATAATGTAATATGAAATATGAATAGTCTGTTTAAATATAAATAAAGTTACATGTAACACATTTGTGTTATTTTACTAACCGAAGGCTGTCATTGCGAGGTCAAGGTATCTACTATAACGAGTTCCAGAATCGGATTCATGTAGGTGTACAAGTAGCCATATCGTGTAGAGCTGCCATGTAAATGCAAGTGACAAGCATATGATTCCCCATGCCCTGCAATGTAATGCGACCATTGAAAATTGTTGTGGAAGTTAAACCAAGAGCTAAGGTTGTGCTGACTGAAACCATATATTTTCTTCCTTACATGTATTCAACTATGCATATGTTACTTTGTAGTTTGGACACAAATATATGGGGCTGTCAAAATTTATTAGATTGAAGATTGAATAAACTAAAGCAGAATTAATATATAGAAACAAGCTGATGAGTAAAATACATAGTGATAAAAGGGAGCCTGAAAATAATCACTGTTACCATCCAAGAGTGGCAAGTGCAACAGGCAGTAAAAGGGCTTGGATTCCAATTCCTGAACAAAGCAAAAGGAAGGTAGCTGAAAAGGTATTCCCATTCCTGGACTCTGTGATGGGTAGCCAAGCATCTTGTGGATTGAGCTCACCGCCTCCCCAGTTTGCAGCTGAAGTAACATGATAGTTAGAATCTTCACTCGTGGGACTTGTTGTGATGGGAATGACTTGAGCAGATTCTGATCTTCTACTTGCGCTTCTAAAGGAATAAACCCTATCTATGCTCCAATTTGCCTCCACAACCACTTCTTCCATTGCTGCCATTTCCTTGCAGCTTGCAAAACACAAACTGGCCAGCTAAAAGCCTTTGCGACGTTTGGTAGGTGAATGCAACTAATTTGAGCCAAATATTATGTAATATGTTGTATTAAATATAGCTCTGTGTCGACTAGATGAGCTGTATGCAAATTTTAAGACTAGCTGTTGACCGACTTGCTTATATTGTTGGGGTAATTGTTTATGCTGAGTGATGGGTGCATGCACTACTTAATCTGAAAGTGTGCATTGAAATGGTCTCTACAATTAGCATCAGTCCAAATGAAACGAGGAAGGTAACGGTATCCAATATCCAAACCAATCATATAATGTTATAGGAAAAAAATTAAAATATGTAACAACCGTAGGAGAAAGCTAAGTCTCTTCTAACTTAATTTTTCTGATGGCTTCATCTATGTATCCGACTATTAGTTTTTTGGGTGATACTAAGGAGACTATTTACTTGAATTATATTTTAAAAACTACATGATGTGGAGTTTGATGGTTGAATTTCTTCTTTAATTCATTAAAGAATGAAACCAATTATCAACGGTCACATTACGTAATTTACAAAATATATATAAAAATATAATCTCTCTAGTATTTATTTTTATTTTTTAATCATTAGAAATTAAGAAGGGATCCAGTTTACACATATGAAGTATTTTCCTTAGTTTTTTTATTTTTTAGAAAGGATCCAGTTCACAGCTCAACTTTGGGTCACCTAAGTTGATAAAAAAATTAACTAAAAAGTAGACGGAGATTTGACATTGCAATGAATTCATAAGTTGATGTATGACATTGAAATGTTTAAAATATGAGGTATAAGATTGTTATGTGACCCAAAGTTGAAGTGTTAAAATATAATTTTTCTTTTGAAAACTATATGATGTGGGGTTTGATGACTGAATTTCTTCTTTTAATCATTAAAGATGAAACCAACTACCAACTGCAGCTGCCGCATTACGTAGTTTACAAAATATGATCTATATATATATATATAATCCCACAAGTATTTTTTTTTTAATCATTAGAAATTTAGAAGGGATCCAGTGCTATATATATATAATCCCACTAGTATTTTTTTTTTAATCATTAGAAATTTAGAAGGGATCCAGTTTGCACATGTGAATTTTCCTTAGTTTTTTTTAAAGGATCCAGTTTACACATGTGATGGCTTATGTAAGTGCTCACGCACGTCCCATTAGAAGTTATTTAAGTATGAATATGATTCCCTCCCTCCTACAACTTTAAGTATATTCATATTTATTTTCAACAGGTAGCCATAAATAGACCCGGCAGTTTCTGACATAACACGAAAATAATAGGTTTTGGATCAACACGAAAACTAATCGGGTCATTATTAGGTGACCTATTAAGAACCCGTTAATAACAAGTTCTTAACGGGTATACACGTGAGTAACCTGTTTCGACCCTTTAAGAAAAAAATTATTTTGATAATTTTAAAGTTTAATTACTAAAAGATTTATTATAAAATACAAATAGCTATATTAATATATACAATATATTCTATATTAAATATATAGTTTTGTATTATTATTCTATATAAGTTATAAAAATAAAAAATAAAAAAAATAAAAAAATTAGTTATTATTTATTTTTATTATGAGAGTTCCTTTTTGTCATTACTAGGATAAATTTTACTTAACATGTTGTTGTCCAAAATTAAAATAAACTAGTATAGTATTTGTATAGACAAGAACTAAAAGACATGCATACAAGTATGAAAAATGTGAAAGAATATATAAACAGTTGTGATTCATCATTATTCCTCCACGAGTAGATAATGGTTACGCTTACATTATCATTTAAATTTTTAAAATCCTCCAAACCCTCATGAATAATGTTTTTTATTTGAGGGCAAAATTAACAAAATTAATAATAATTATTTTAGAAGAGTAAAAAATGTAAAAAAAATATACAATCACTCATAGTGACAAGCTTTACAACTTTCATGAAGGGGTCAGCATCGAAATCCAACCCTATAATCCATAAACCTTAAATTTATATTTAACCGTCGATTGTCATTTACGCTTTATTCTTCTTAGTGAATTTCATTTTTTAAATTTTCTTTTTTTTTTGAAAACAAGATCATCTGGCAGATGTAAGAAGATGAACGGTTCAGATCCTTGATATCACGTTTTGATAGTTGCGGTTAACTGAAATATAAGTCGATGTCATATAGTTTGTAGAAACTTTATAAACATCAAGCAATACTTTCACTAACTGTAAAACTTTGAACACAATATCAACGATCCAAATTGTTCATCTTCCTGCATCCTCTAATAGATCATGTTTTCAAAAAAGAAAATCTAAAGAAAAAAAAAACAAAATTTGATGAGAAAAATGAAGCGTAAATGTGCCATTACGAGCGTTTATATATTTTTTACACTTCTACATTAATTAAAAAACTATTAAATACTTTACCTAAATAATAGTCGTAATATAAATAAGATAAATTTGTAACGTTGGATTCTATTTCACTTATATTATTAGAATTTTTTTGGACGAAAAAAACCCCTTCTCTATTCCAGTATTTTCCAATTTTACCATTTGATCAAAACAAAAGCCCTAATCCCTTTTGAACATTTTGTAATGTTCTAATGTTTTTTTTTTATTTTTTTTATTGTGCTCTTATTTTGAGTATGTAAATATATACTTAAAAGAAAATTGTGTTTTTATGTTTTGGATGTGACAACATGGTATGTATATACTTATTTAGTATTATATTTTTCATTCGATTATTTATTGGTTTAAAATATATTTTCCTTAACGGGTAACGAGTTAGGTCATATTACCTATTAATATTATCGGGTCGATTTTGGGTCGGGTCATTTTACCTGTTTATTTTAACAGGTGTTACATGACACGACCTGTTAAGATATCAGGTATGACACGAAAATGACACGAACACGTAAAACAAGATACGAATGTCAGGTGTAGCCATAAAGCATTCATATATATATGGGGAGCCTTCTCCTAACCATTGGATGAAATAGGTGGTTGAGATTAAATAGCTGATATAATCTTTCTTTTTCCTTTTTCTTTTCTGGTTCCCTCCTCTTCCTTGCGACACAGACGCACATCATCTCCCACAAACAGCACCAGCCAAATCATAGGCCATCGCGAATAACCTTTGAGATTTCAGAGATTTCAAGTATGGGTCTCCTCCTCATTCATTATTTTAGATGATTAATTTGGAATTTGGGTTGAACAATTGGGGTTTTTTTTTTTTTTTTTTCTGGTTCTCTCCTCTCCCTTGCGACACAAGCTATCTCCCAAGAATAGAGCTTCACGCTAATCAAATCGCAGCCATCGCCTCTAACCTTTGAGATTTCAGGTATGGGTCTCCTCCTCATTCATTATTTTAGGTGATTAATTTGGAATTTGGGTTGAACAATTGGGGTTTATATTTTTCAAATTCTAAACACAAAAACCTATTGCGTTTTGATTCGGGATGTTTCTGGTTTCAAATGGGTCCATAAATTTGGTGGTTTTCCTTCGGGTTTTAGGGTAAAGACCTTTTGAGTTCTAATTCAAATTGGTTACAAATTTGAATGGACTGAATTAATAAAGTCTGAACTCAGGACCTTATAACCTTTTGGGTTTTGATTTTGCAGGGAAAGCCCCCGATTGGTAAGGACTTGCTATTGAGGTTGCCATTTTCATTACTAATTAAATTCTTTGCCATTTGCTTTTACTTAAAAAATGACTCTGTATATGCCATATATTGCCAATGATGCCATTTGCATTGCAAGTTAGTTATCCATTTTTGAAAATCTTATGCTGAGTGGTTGATAATGGTGATGAACTATTTATATGTGTTTGACTGCAGTGCGCACACGTGATGGCCATGGCTGTTCAAAAGCTCTTCCCGGATACAAAAGTGACAATTGGTCCGTGGATAGAAGATGGGTTCTATTATGATTTTGATATGGAGCCTTTGACGGACAAAGAGTTGAAGAGAATCAAGGAGATGGTAAGTGGAATTTCTGCATAAGTTATCATGTTTGTATCAAAGTTTTGGAACCATGTAACTATTGCAAACTATTCATGAGCATTTCTTTTGTGATTTGTAGGATCGCATCATTGGCAGAAACTTACCACTCATAAGAGAAGAAGTTTAAGAGATGAAGCTCACAAAAGAATAACTGCTCTCAACGAATCATACAAATTGGAAATTTTGGATAGTATTAAAGAAGATCCTATTACCATATATCATATGGGTAAGGGTTTCACTATTTTCAGGCTCAATATAGTATGGAAGGTGATGAATTAATGTGCAGGAACCGTGCGTAAATGATATTTTTATTAGCTACACAAGTGAAATGTACAGTGTTTGTGTCGAGTCTTAAGATGGAAATTTAAAGGAATAAAAAAGAAAGGGCGGGGGTGTGCTCAGGGAAAACAATGTTGTTGGTGCTCTTGAAAAATGAGTTATTAACAGAAAAAGCTGTCAAACTTGAGTCTATTACTAGTGCTTGCTGAAGAGGAGATGAAAAGAAACCGAAGCTGCAGAGGATCTATAGCACTGCATGGGAGAGTGAAGATCAATTGAAGGCATTTATTCATTTCAAAGAGGAAGCTAAACGTCAAGATCACAGGAGCCTTGGTCAATGTCTTGACCTGTTTTCTATACAGGTACTCAGAATTGCCCTGAATCTCTTTCTGCTGGTTACGCATATTTATCAGTTAGCAATCCCATTATTTGTAATTATGAGGATTCTTGCATTTAACATTTTCATTGTTGAATTTTGACAAAATGATGCTGGTGGGGGTTTAGTGTTCTAGCATCCAAAGGATGCTATTGTGATGCATGTAATGGAAGATTTGTGGAAAAAGATCAACATAGAATGTGGTTACAATCTGTTGTATACTCCACATGTTGCAAAGGGGAACCTTTGGCAGATAAGTGGTCATCTGGATTACTACAAAGAGAATATGTATGATCAAATGAATGTTGAGGATGAACTTTATCAGCTTTCAACTAATGAACTGTCCCTATCATATCTTGGTTTACAAAAGGAAGCCTCACTCATATCATGAATTTTCTATTTGAGT